GGAGTGAGTAGCAGGTGAGTGAGCATTACCGCCTGGGCTCCGCCTCCTGTCAGATCAGTGGCGACAACAGATTCTCATAGGAGCACAAACCCTATTGTGAACCGCACACACAAGGGATCTAGGTTGCCTGATCCTTATGAGAATCCAATGACTGATGATCTGTCACTGTCTCCATCACCCACAGATGGGACCATCTAGTTGCAGGAAAACAAGCTCAGGCTCCCATTGATTCTACATTATGGTGAGTTGTAGAATTAGTTCATTATATATTACAATGTAATAATAATAAAGTACACAATAAATGTAATGCACTTGAATCATTCTGAAACCACCCCCACCCCCAGCCTGGTCTATGGAAAAACTGTCTTCCATGAAACCAGTCCCTGGTGCCAAAAAGGTTGGGGAGTGTTGGTGTAGAGACTTCCGTAAAATAACCAAAATAGGGTTTTGCTATGTGGCTACTCTGGTAGCTCTCTATGAACTGAATTCACAGCCTTGTAAAATGAAGTCCTTCAAGTACCTTCAGTAACTAAAACTGTTCTGATGGGTTCATAACAAAATGATCTTATTCTAAGTTCTGCTCTATCATGAAGACTGAAAGTCCTATTAGATTTTTTTCTTTTCTTTTTTTTTTTTTCTGAGACACGGTCTTGCTCTTGTTACCCAGCTGGAGTGCAATGGCGTGATCTCAGTTCACTGCAACCTCCGCCTCCCGAGTACAAGTGATTCTCCTGCCTCAGCCTCTTGAGCAGCTGGGATTACATGTACCCGCCACCATGCCCGGCAAATTTTTTGTATTTTTGGTAGACATGGGGTTACTCCATGCTGGCAAGGCTGGTCTCGAACTCCCGACCTCAGGTGACCCACCCGCCTCAATCTCCCAAAGTGCTGGGATTACAGGTGTGAGCTACTGCGCCCAGCCACATTTTTCTTCGTTAATTTAAGAAGTCTCCAAGATGAACAGTGCCCTTCCATACTATGCATCCTGATCAAATCTCTATCAATTCTTAAGAAAGGTCTCAGCAAATTTTATATCAAGCCCTCCCTCCAGGTCAATTCAAGATACCTGAATACCATGTAAGGCTATTAAGTGCCTCATGAGTAGTAACAATTTCTCTCTTTTTCCAGTGTTACACTACCATTGCTCATTCTGTTTTTTTTTTTCAATTAGCATAGATTTTAAAGCTGTAAGGCATTAAACATTAAAACAAGTTCAATAGCATGGTCTCCTCTTACTAAAAAAACCAGTTTTGAGAATTATTTTCAGTAAACTTTAATAACATCTATAAAGTCTGAACGCAGTGCTCTACTATGTTAGGATACTTTGAAAGAATTACTTCCTAAAGGATCAGCAGTTCTTCACGACACATTTTTTTTACATTAAAGTTTTTAAAATTAAGTTAACCTGGATCCTGGATTCACTGTAACATTTTACCTAATTCATTTAATTCAGGCCAACACTATGAAGTCACAGTTATTATACTTTGATTTAAAAGGTATTTAGACTTTAGGTCATTTTGAATGAAACCAAAATTCATGTAACTTTAAATTCCACACTTACCTACTGTCTTCTAACTGTATCACTGTCATTTGGCCCAAGTTTGCATAAATCCAACCTCTGATCTATTTGAAATCAACAAAGAAAGCAATGAAAACATTACCTGATATCAGGGATTCTAACATCTATAGAGTGACAATAATTTTCCACAATCTATTAGAAATCAAACCTATCATTTAAAGAATTCAGATTTCAAAAACTATGAAGTACTGGTGTATTACATTGCCAATATGCAGTCATTTTCTCTCCAAAACTTTTAGACCACTTTAGGCTGAGTCTTAATAGTTGTTGTTCTTAAGGAATTTATCCCTGAGCCTTGGTTTTCTCACATATGACAATATGTGAATCCTTATATTTTTTTAAGGATTAAATCAGATAATTATGCAAAACCCTCAGCATAGTGCCTGGGACGTAAGTGGTCAACAAATGTTAGTTGTCATTATCATTTTTTAACTAACCATTTCAAATGACATGTACACAAAAAAGTATTAATAAGAAGCCAAGAATAAACTGTAGAATCTGGGTTTGCATCAGTTCTGCCACTAACTCATTCAGGAGCAACTCACTTATTCTCTCAGATGCCTCATCTGTAAAAGAGATATAACACTGGTCTGACCCTGAAAGTTACAGTAAGGAACAAGGTCACCCAAAGCACGCTGGTTTTACTTTGATTACAGCACTTATAGCTGAATGCTTTTACAACTGTATGCCATCTGTCTACTCATCTGTGAATTGATAAAAGGAGGAGACCATATCTTAGTCTTTGTATTTTCCACTCCAACCTGGTAGAACATTGCATCAGGTAGGTGCTCAATGAATATTTGATAAATTCAGTATTACCGCACGTCAAAAAGGTCAAATAAATTAATACAATGAAACAGTCACAAGAAACACAAAGAAAAATCCATGCCCTTAAACTATAGTCCATAGTTATCCAACCAAAAATTTAGACACTTTTCTCTTTGTAAAATAAATGGGTGCTACTAAGTTGACTATACAGTGGATTCTGCAGAGCAACTCCTCCTCTCCTATTCAGTCCTTCCAATGTGGCATGCTCCAGCATGCCTTTGCCCTTCCTTCTCAGAGGACAGGATTCATGCCTTTTTCTCCTTTATACAGCCAGGGTTTAGAAAGTAGCACATTCAGTCTTCAATAAATGTTGGGTAAATTGAACTAGGAATAATGTCAGACATTTGAGCTATAATTTTTCAGTTTGCTGAGTAAGAAAACAGTGCATTTTTATATGCAACTCGTTTTTTTCCAATCCCACTGTCCTTTCTCTCCTGTTGGTTACCCTGTCAGCCCAGAAATACAAGAACTTCTCAGATGCCTTTAAATACCTTGGACTAAGAACTTCTAGCTCAGTTTTCTGCCTTTTTCTTTTTTACAAGGTCAATACATACCTATGCTGTGGTATCACACTACATTAAAAGAGACAATCTCTTAATATATTTAACACTCAATACTAAATTTACTCTGGTTTTTATTAATTTCTTTTTTTTTTTTTTTT